TCGAGTGAAGTGGGATGGGAGCTAAAACGGTGGCTGCCCCTCAAAGTGAGAGCTGCACCAGTCCCGTCCCTCAGAATGCGATTGCAGGGGTGTGAGTGTGTGTGTATGACATGACATCCCCCCCGGCATGCACGCACGCGGGCCCCATAGATGGCATTTCACAGCACCCTCGCAGGGCGAGATAGCGGGGGGTAGAAAGAGTGGCATTGAATGTCACGACGTGATCTCGGTTCCTTTGAACACTTGTTGTTGGTATCAGTGGGGTAGAAGCGGTTGGGCGTTCAGGAAAAATCAGAAGGTTTGGCTTGACTGATGTTGAGCTCATTATGAATTGACGATCTCATTTTTTTTATTTTCCCACCCTAGCTGGCGGTGCAACAGAAAGCCCTTTCCGAAAGCCCCAGCCTGATTTCACTATCAGCCACTTAACCACGATATTAATTTTTTCAATTGCTGAACTTTTAAGGTTTGAAATTACCATATGGGTTGGAAAATATTCTGTCGCTGAACCAGAACAGTCTGTTAACTAAAAAACGCACACCTTTTAGTAACTTAAAGTTCTTTGGCGTTGCAAAATGCCCTCCTTTCCACCACCACCACCCACTGGTCTAGAAAAATGGATTAATTATACCTTATGGTATTTTTTCTATTGGAAATAATATGACCAATAAATTCTGGATTTCAAGAAATTATTTGTGAGAGTTTTGATAAAAATTCAACTTTAGCGTATCACACTTTTGACGAAACGGCCTGTGTCTGACACAGTTGCGTTGTAAGTTTTGATTAGTGGCTTTGGTTAGAAAACCTGAACCTGGCAAGTTCCTCTGCTCAGTCTGGTGCCTGCTGATTGGGGCTGGCCCTGGGTGGACTTCAGATTACAGCTTTGGAGTAGCTTTACATTAACAGCAGTTTATATTTCATCGTGCTTTTTTTTTTTTTTTTTTTTTTTTAGAGCTTTAGTGCCAGGTTTATGGAGTGAAATGCTTACTTAAATGCTGAAACTGCGTTTTCAGTGGGCAGAAATACACCTCACCAGAATTTTTTGTGTTTGTGTAAAATTGCCTTATAAGTTAAAAACTTGATCTTCTTACATAGCAATAAGAGCTTTTGTTTCACGTAAAGACCCATTTTATTGATCACGTATCAACATTTAAGGTAGTCAGGCACATTGCAAATAGCATAATAAGGTGTTTATGCTTGATACCTTTCTTGTAGACTAGAATATAAACGAGAGCTATCTTTTCGATAGGTGGACTGTATGATTAGAATGGGAGTAGTCGGGTGGAGTCTCTAAATCTGATTATACGAGAGTAAGGGTGTGTTTTTCAAGTGCCTCCCGCCCCCGAGCCCGCCGGCTCCAGGTGCACCTTTGGAAGACTGTACCGTACATCCCTTCACCTTTGTGGTGGCCCGTGCTCTGGGTGACAGTGGGGCACAATTAAGCAAACTTAATTCTGGCTCTGACCAGCACCACCACTGTGGGCTGAGGGGCTGATTCTCTAGTCAGCCAGACCCCATTCTTTTGTTCTGGTGGGTTCTCATGTGCTAGGAGACCAATATGACAGTCACTAAGATTAAACTAGTGGTGAAGTTAAGAAAGAAGCTTCCCCCAAAAGAGAAGATATTTTGTCACTTCAGAAATAATCTTTCAGATTTATGTTGAAAAATGTATTGCATTAACTGAGATAAAGACTATCCTTTTTAAATATAGGGAGAGAGTGCCTTTTAAAATATTCAAGGTGGAATTTTTGTCTTATAATCTTACTTTATAACTGTGTATTCTGTGTACATTTTAAGTTTTATTACAAGATGAATACTGGTCATTAATTTTAGGTTTACAGATTCAAAGAACAAGAATAGTATTTGCCTCTCAAAAAAACCTCCTGTTCTGTAAAAGCGAAACCGCGATGGATGCTGTGTTAGAGTAGCCCAGACCCATCAGTCTCCTTTGCAAAAGTTCATTTATATTGTATATTACTATTCTATACCAACTTTAAAAAAACACCTACGTACAGTTGACAGCTCTCTTACTGGCCTCTTGTCATTGCCAGTTAGTATCTGCTAAGCCTGGTCTAGTCTATTCTCTTGGGTTACGACAACTCTCCTAACTCTTGACTGTTCTCTGAAGACACACATCTGGTCTTCAGACCTCTCCAGAGTTTCTTACTCTGTGCTCGGTATTTCTCAGGGTCTGGTCTGTGGGCCGTCTGCACCAGAGTTGCTCAGGGAGCTTGTCAGCGTGTAGCCTCCTGGGCCCCCACAGACACACCCTGCCTCCTGTCTCACTGCCACACCTCCTGGATATGTTTATATCTATGCATTTATTTAAGCTACTGCACTTTTCTTTCCTGTGGAAGAAATGTCTGCTTATCTCCTTCACCGCCTTCCCCAAAAAGGCATTTATCTCAGAGGTGACCAAGTTGGATTTGGCCACCAAGGTTCCGTGTTTCCTTAGCTCTGGCTAGGTTGGCACGTTCACTAAGTGCTGGTTTTGGTAAGCTGACTGCTGACACAGACTGGCACCTGCCATGGTGCTTCTGGCTGCCAGCCCGAGCATGAGCCAAGTAGAACCTTCTAAACCACACATATAAGTAAGGGTGTTAAATAGAATTCAGTAGGTTTCATCTACAGGTTGGGGAAAATTAAGCACGGGAGTTATTTTTGTTTCGTGTGATAAGAACTATAAAATATACTTAAAAGTATCCTTGCCCAGAAGAAGCTTATCATTTAGTTGAAATGTAATCCACAAGAACGTCAGCTCTGTGGGAGCAGGGCTTGGCCTCTTTGGTTGATGTGCCCAGAACACCTCCTGGAACAACGGCTGGCACGTGGGTAAATTAGTGAATATCTTGATTTATTAAACATCAGATAACTTGCCAGCAGTTTTGACCACTCCACCATCTTTATGAAAAACAGTCTGTATTTCAGGTTTTCTTTGGATAATTGGCATTTTCTTCATTTCTGACTCTGGGATTGAAAGCATATTACTCTCCGAGAGAGCCATATGTAGTGAGAAATGAGCAGGGCTCTGAAGCCCCAGACAGGTGGGTGATGGTGGGTCTAAGCGGCCACGTGGTGTCCTGCTTGCTAGCCTGGTCACCTGTATATATGGGCAGGTGTGTCTCCTTGCAGGACTGTTATTAGGAGGATGAAACACTCTGTGGGTTCTGATGCGGGGTAGGCATTCTAAACAAAGATACTTCCCTTTCCCTCAAGGGTCAGTTAACTTTTTAACAGCTTCTGAAGGAACGCTTGATTGCTGATAGCATAAAAAGAATGGTAATGATTTGATACCTGTCATAGAGTAAATCCTTAAAGAGCTGTAAACCCAGGAAAAGGAAGTGAACTACTGCATCATCGCCTGACATCACATCTACCCTGAAATGTTATTTTCTGCCAGTTTAGTCATTTAAATTTTAATTTTGATAGACTTTTACAGAGTAATGGTAGAAGTATTTGTGTGACAGAGGTACAGCCAGAGTAATCTTTATGTGATTGGATGTGTATTCAGGGGAGGTGCCTGGATGATCCTAAAAGTTTCCCCATCCTCAGCCTTTGTGTTCTCCACCAGAGCTTCCTTTAGCAGTTTCGCTGGGGCTCATTCAGAGTGCAGATAATTCTGGCGAGGATCCATGTCTGCTCTTCTTTGTTCACGCCCCCCTCAGTACACACACACACACGCACGCGCACGCACATGATGCCCTGCCTCTCAGACACTCAGTCTTTGTGGGGTCATTGTTGAATTCACTTGAGTGGGGGCTGGGGGACAGAGAAGAAGGGGCAAGAGTTTTAAGAAGACTTGGTAAAAACTCTTCATAGAGTTCACTTTTAAGTGCTTTTATAGAGCCATGAATCAACAGTTTTATTTATAGTGATAAATAAAATACAAAACAGGAAGCTATGTTCATGTTACTTTGGAATCTGATTATCATAGCTTCTTAAATATTTGGCCATGGTTAAAACATAACACGTGTGTTTAATTGCGAGTACAGGGTGCCCATTTTAACAATAAATTAACCTAAGTTGCATGTTATCAGTTGAAATCCAAGAATCTTCTCTCTTTTCATGTACGTCTTGCTGAACTGTTCTGTGAGTCTGGAAAACACTTTTTCTTGTGGCACGTGGAGAATACCGTCCTGATGCCTGATGGGGTCTTCGGATGTGACAGCTCACATTTTTGTTGCCCTTCATTTTTGCCTGTCACCTGGCTTTTAGTGGTTTCATTAACATACGAGTGAGTGTTCTGGGTGTGAATGTTACTGACAGCTTAATGAAAGGGCTAACCTCCCTCTTTTTTCTCTTTTCAAAAATGTCTTTGCTCTGCCACCCGAAACGTTTCCTCTCCCCGTGTGGTTTTGCAGACTTGAATCCATCTTTATTGGCTGCATTAATATTGAAACAAAACATGCAGTTATGCTATAATTTGGCCCCGTGGTAGCACTGTGAAGGCTCGAGGTATCACTGTCGCTGCTTCCACAGACACGCACTCGTGCAGGTAGCCTGTTGATTCTCGGGCTTTCATTTATTTTGCTTTGAATAAGACAGCCATTTCATCTCATATTCCTATGTGTTTGAAATTTTTCTAGGAATTTTACCTTGTATTAAGATCAAAATAGTTATTTGACTGACAACCGAAAATTTTTGTGTTCTCATGTGTTTCGGTGTATTTCTTTGGTGATATTTATGATACCATTTTTGTATTAGTTTGCCATCTTCAAATGGAAGTATGTCATTAATTGGCCAGGATGTTTTTCAGTTGTGCAATTCTGAATGTCCAGTTTTGAAAAGGGAAATTATTCTAGGTCTTTTATTCCTTAACCAAAGTTATGCAGCAGACTGTACCACTATGATCTTTAATGCATTTTTGTAGTTCTTGAAGTTAGAGAGCTTCCAAAAACATAGCGGCATGTGTGAGATGGGCTTGCTCCTAGAGACTTAACTTTGGAACTTTCTAGATGATCCATGGAAAACAACGTGATTTTTGTTTTGTTCTGTTGCAGCTTCGATGAGGCAGTCTCAGGCTGTTCCTGCAGATATGCGCCCGGAGATATGGATTGCCCAGGAGCTGCGGCGTATTGGAGACGAGTTTAATGCATATCACCCCAGGAGGGTAATGATGTTTTCTTTACTCCTTTTTCTCCTCACACCCTCCCCGTCCCCACCATATTTAAAAAAAAGTCACTCGTGATAATTCTGTGCTAATTATGGAAATGAGAGGTATTACCTGTGTGTGACCTACCATTGTTTCTCCTTTCCCATTTTCCACTTCTTTTATGGCTGAATTTAAGTGATGCTAATTAAATAGAATACAGTACGAGGTGGCAAAGGGATTTTATGAGCACAGACCTTGAAACCTCCATGCTAAAAAAGGGATTATTTATATAAATGCTTCGAAATACACCGATATAAATATTAATGTAGTTTTCGGTCCATATAGGGTATTTCTGCACTCCTCTTAGGCAGTTTGGGTCAAAGTTGAAGATGTTTTTAAATTTCCCTCTTCACTCAACCAAAGGGCACAACGCCAGCACACGTGTAAAAGACTCCCCTGCGATGTGGCCGGCGACTTGAGTGAGAGCAGGACAGCCGTTGATTCAGCCCCCATTGCTGTCCGTGGACGTTCATCTATTGAAATGTATTCGGAGGCCATTAATTAATACTGTGTGATTTAGGGTGTAAAAACTCGCACTCCAAATTGACTGCCACTTAAATTTTGAGGTGTGCCATTGATTTTTAAAAAACAGAAATCTTGCCCTATAGCTTTTTTAAGTGTATTTTTTGTCTGTCTGTTTTGCCTGGTGGCAATATATGTTACCGTCTGGACACCTTTTGCATGGCAGACATGTGAAAGTGTGTAGCCTTTACCTCTGGAGTCAGGGCTGTCTTGAGCCTGTGTGACCAAGGGGTACACTAGCAAAGGTGTGATGTAGTTTTGGCTTGTTCACATTTTTTCAAACATTGTGTATGAAGATACTCTGTTGATTTTCCAAAAGGAAGACACTTAAATCTGATTTTGTAGAAAATAAAATTCTTTCTTATTGTGTCATTTCTCCTCTGGCTTTTCTGAACATTATTGTTTCATATAAGTACATCTTAAAGACCTTTTTTTAATCTTTTTCTTCTCCTGGAGGGAGGTCATGCTTAGGACACTCCAGTATTTGTATCCTTTTAATGTTTTATTCTTTTAATGTTAGTCTCTTTTTTCCTAGCTGTTGCTAAGTAAATGGACATTATCTGTTAATTGCTTTCAGTCATTCTTGTTTTCCTGTCTATATTCAATGCCTTTCAAGCTTTTTTCAACACACATGGAGACGTTTTTCCCATCACAAGGGGGTCTTTCATTCCTTCAGTATAGAATCTCCATAAAGGGGTTAAGGACTTTCAGGAAACTCACACTAGATCCTCTTTATACCTTCCTATGGGGTGTGTATGAGTCTGTTTGATGGGAAATGTGCTATAGTATGATTCTGTCATTGAATGGGAAATGTCACATTGATGAATGGCCTTAGGAATTTCTTATGATACTGTCTTTAGCTGGCAGAGTGCCTGGCATCCTACACCTGACATGGACCAGTTCAGGGAACATAAATTCCTTCTCAGCCTAGATCTGAAATGGTGATTGTCTTTGCAAGGTTGGTGTTTTGTAATTTGCCACTGAAGTTAGTGTTCCCCCCAATTCTTCTGCCTTGGTTTTTCTGAAGGGATTTCGGGGTTATTCTGTGTGGCTGGACTTGGCTCTCCTGCTGGACTAGGAGATACTGACCAGAAACAGGGCCCCTGTGCGTTCAGGATGTTGATCCTCATGCTGAGGTGGGGAGGACACGTCTCTTCAAGAGGGTAGGGTGAACACATCTGAGCCCTGATTCTGGGATTACGTCCATAATCCAGCAGGAGAAGATCGCTTCTGCTGGGCACGGCAGCCTCTCAAGGTGACCCTCAACAAGGAACTGACCGGGATACTGGGTCTGCCTCCTTTCCCCGGCTTGAAGGGGTTAGATGTCCTTGGGGCCAGATCTGACTTGGGTGGGGCTCCCCGAGAGAGATGCGGCAGTTGGGCCCTCGTGCCTTCAGAGTCCGGAAGCTCTGGACACCAAGATAAATCAGCAGAGCTCTGTTCTCTGGGATTGGATCAGAGCCTTTGGCCACAGAGCCGGGTGTGTTTAAGGATATTTTGGAAAAGTTTGTCTTTAAACTTACGTGAAGTATCAGCGACTCTTCAAAGCTTTCCCCTGAGCCGGCCCAGATGAGTCTGGTTGATACACCTTCATGGTGGCCTTGTGTGTTCAGTGACAAGACATGAGCTAAGGGTGGCATGGGGGCTGGAGCACAGCCTCACATAGGCTGTCGAGGTGGTGAACAGCTTAGTCTCACGTGTAAATGAGACATGGACCATTGGGTTGTTTTCAGTACCTTGCCCCCCTCCATTGACAGTGAGATAGTAGCATCTAACAGGTTCATATCCTCCCTTCCCCTCCTCTCCTCCCAATGTTATTTCACAGTTAAATGTTTAAGATGGTCATATCTGTTTTTTCAAATGAGATGTAACCTATTCTCAATGCTTTTGGTAAATTAATGTAAGTCTCATTGCAGTATTTTGCAATTGTGAACCTTATCTTGTATCTCTCAAAAAGTGAACCAATGTGAAAATGCAGTGGCTAATAAATTAAAGGACTCTAGATTTCTAAGTAGAGTGGGATACCAGGGGGAGGAGTAGGGACAGACTGTAGGTTATAACCTGATTTTTCTAAAACGAAGGCAAATATATTCTCCAGATTTTTATAAATAGCCAGTTCAAAACACCAGACTGAAACTCGGGATGGTGACACAGTGACCCCTAAAGCCACAGATCTCTGTCTTAATAGTTGTTGGAATAAAAACAGTCCATTGTCTGCAGTCACACTGATGGTCCATTGTTGAGTGTTGGGGGTAGGAATCTGGGGAGGAAATGGGAGGCCATTTTTGGAAAGTAATGCCTTCAAATTACGTACTGTCTTCACTGGGGGAGTTGTTACCTCCTGGCGAGTGCTGCTTTACGACGGATTTTAGCATTTTAAATACTTAGTGACTTTATTTGCTTAATACCATTACAGTACCTTTTCTAAAGTGTTGGTCTTTTATTGCCATGAGCCTTGTGAAGCCTGACAGGATATTTTCCCGTTTTTTCAGTTAGAGCAATAGAGGAAGTTGTCGTGTAGTTGTCATGTGTTCAGTCCACTTCAGGGCAGTGGGGAAGCGTATGACACGGAGCTGTGGAGTCTGAATCCTTGAAGGAGGAGGTGAGAGAGGCACAGGTGAGCACAAAGTCCCGGTGCATGTTCCCTTTCTCTCCTGTGACTCGGTGTCATTGCCCCCAGTGGCCCTGCCGGGCAGGCTGCCCCTTCCCCTGTATCTGATAGGAGTTTTACTGCTCCAAGTCTTCGTGTATTTTTGTAACTTTTTGTTTTGAAATAATTTCAAACTTACACAAAAGTCACGAGAATGGTACCAAGAACCCTCTTCAGTCTGCCACCCAAGTTCCCTACTGTGAACATTTTGCCACATCTATTGTAACATTCTCACTCTTTAACTCTGTGTGTACATATTTTCTGAGCTATTTGAGAATTATTGCAGGCATGATATTCTGTTACTCTTAAATACGTCAGTGTGTATTTCCTAGGAGTAAAAGTATCCTCTTATGTCACCCCAGTGTAATTGTCAAAATCAGGAAATTAACAATGTCTGCTGTGTCTTCTGTGGACCTTATTCAGACTTTACCAGTTGTCCCAACAGTGTGATGTTGTGTCCCCTTCAGTGTGTCGCATTGGGAGGCACAGGATGTCGATTTGTCCCATTACTGGGACTCTGGTCAGAGGTGGTGTCCTTCACTATAAGTCAGTATTTTTCCATTTGTAATGGAAGGAAGGCATGTGTAATGGAGGAAGAGCTTCCTTTCTCCCCTGTATGTTTATTTCATGGATCAACTTAAGTTCCTGGGGCCCTGTTTAATTCAACGGGTTATTATGCATTGCTCTCCATACTTATTTTGTTGCTCAAATTGTCACAGACTTGGCCGGTGGCAGCCCTCTGATGCATTTTCACGTCATTAAGCATTGAAGTGCCTTGGTATAGAACATGTTGCGGGACAAATCCCAAGGCACTGTAGAGGTGATGGAGCTCTTGGATGTGTTACTAAATGACCTACACGCACTCGGTGTCCTGACTGTTAGAGCGTCCGGGTCCAGCTCTGTGAGACTCCCAGGAGAGAGGACGAGGGCTGTCGGTGAATGCTGGGGATCGCAGGGATGTCAGTAGGCCTGCAGGGAAGAGGATTCCTCAAAGAAGCTAAATCTCTGGTTTGGGCTTTATGAAGAGGGTGAGTAGCTTGCAGGGAGATGAGGGGTGCCATGTTGTCTGTTTAAGCAGCCTGCACCTGGAAGCCTCCTCTTCATGGTGGATGCATCCACACAGCCAGCCAGGTTTCCTTTTATTCTTTAATAGCCTCTGCTGGTTTCTTTCACCACTGAGAAATTGTGTGTCCCGGGTTTATCTGCTGGAGGGAGTGGCAGCAAGTGTAGGCCATGGTCCTCTGCAGGCGAGATTGCTGTGTGCTTACCACCAGCTCTCAGGGGCTAGTGTCTGCTTGGATGAGATTCTTGGCCATAGGCTGAGGCTGTAGTCCCAGGCTGTGAAGGATGTACCAGACCCTTCAGAACATAAAAACACATGCTCTTGTGGTAATTAGGCCCATCTTCTAAACAACGTCCCTTCCCCACTACCGAGGCTGAGATCATTTACCTTCTGTGGCCTCCTCCCTGCCTTGCAGTCAGGTTATCCAGCCTAAGTCGCTCTGTGTGCAAGTAGACTGCTCGTGGTTAACAGTGACTCAGGCGTGTCCTGGTGGTGGACTGCAGTGGACAGCATCACATGAAGCTACGACAGACTCTAGATGGGCCAAGAAGTGGATGAAAACCCTTTCAGTGTTGGATCACAAGACACAGTGTACCTTTTGTTCACGCTGCCTACTTCCTGTTCTGTCCCAGGCATATGCAGGCATGAATGGACTGAACCACATGTGGACCGCAGCATAGCACCAAACCAAAGTAGAGAAGAAAGGTGGCTTGCAGACTGATT